CCCTAATTTAGCAGTGTAAGACTAGAGGGAAGACAGGTAGTCATCACCACCCACCGCCAACTCTTGGACTACTCTCTATTACCAACGAATAGTGGAATTGACCGTCACATTATAACGCCCCCACAGCTGAAAGGGCGAACATGTTTGGTGGGACGCGGAATCGAACCCGCGACCCGCAGATTGGGAGTCGAGCGCCCTAACCATCTGGCCATGCCGGGCAATTGCTGTTTTAATCGACCCAACCTAAAATTAAAATACTCATACAGTTAGTCGTATGTATACAGCAGGAATATTGACAATGTCGGTGTTGCGTTTATTAAATAGCTTAAACGAATTATTTTTTCCCCTCTCTTCGTGTATACTAATTGTCAGCGCCAGAAGAATAAGGTTATGTGCAAAATTATAAAATTATGTTTTAGCGTGTATTTGTTATAGAATTTTTGCGCAATCTACTACACAAGGGCAATATCATTGCATAACCGTCCCTGAATTTGAGCTGATAGACTACAGGGAAGACAGCTAGTCAAAAACACCCACCGCTAACTCACAATCACACTAACCAATAGGTCACGCTCGGTCCAGTAAACGAAGCAGACTTTGCTTACAGAAACAGGACGCGAATTATGAACATCACAACACTTACTACACTGCTTATAAATCAGCAAGGCTTTTGCTGCTAGACCATTATGTGCAAGGCGAGAGCGTTTTTGTTTTCGTTATGCCCAAAACTGTACAACGTGATTATGTTGTACCCACCACAGGGATCAAACCCCGAATTTTAGTGTTATAAATTCTTAAGCGTATCACAGAGCCACCGGGGTACAGATATGGGCGTATTTGCAAGTATTTTTTATCCACATCACAGTGTTTATGTGTTGCCAATAAGTTATTTAAGTCAAGTATCTGTTTGAGTTGTAAATTCACATGGAAATGCTAACCTTTCTTTAAAAAACTCCTTGACATACTGGTGAAGATGTTTGTTGCACTCGAAAACTGAGTTTACGAGTATCGTTAATATAAGAACCAAAGTGTTTTTTTTTTGTAGTTCACCGAAACAAGTTAATAAACTTTTGTTTCATTTTTGCTTTGCTTATTGCGCGGACATAACCAGTGTTATAAAATATAAATAGACACTGTTCTATATTTAGCGAAAACTGGTGAATTATGCATACCTGTCATATTAACTTCTTATTTGAGGTGTTTACTTTCATATCTGTGTTGCTTAAAACGACACAGTTCTAAGCATGAGCGTGACTGAACTTACCAGAAGTGATAGTTTGGCTAGTTAATAACCAACTTGGAAAATTCCTACTCACGAACCAAGAGTAAAACTATCGCGAGCAATATGAAAAGCGCGTCATGACATGGCTTACACTCATGTAGTCATACATATATACTAGATACACTTGTGCAGGGTCCCCGAAGGATTCTGTTTCAAGAGTAAATAAAACCAAAATTGAGAGTAACAAATATTTTTATTTCTTCTTTTTGAAACTCATATGTCATGCAGAGTGCATAATTCTTCTCGTGATTCATGGCATGCGTACGTTTTACTGACGTCACGACAGTACAAACTACAATGCTAAGCGTCCCTTATGTGATGTCATTTTCGTGTCTACTGACTGACTGATAGACAGACAACACACTACTGTACAGTGGTGTGAGTGGTTAAAACAGGTGACCCCTCCAGGCGGCCTTCGGCTCCTTTCGGGGAAATAGATATTCCAACCCTCCTAGCAGCCGCCTGTTTTTTTTGGTGTTTTTTTTCTCGAACTCATGTAACTGAACAATGTCAATTTCTGTAAGGGCTAGTAAGATCAATAATTTCTATACAGTAATATGTTTTTTTTTTGTAAAAGTAACTTGCTTTTTCGAGTTATTATGAATCATAATTCATCAGCACATGCTCACTCCTTACCTTTTAAAAGATGCTAAATATATATAATGTAATTTGTGTGAACGTTCTTTGATACAACTATTCCGTTTATCCATATCCGCCATTTTAACTAAAGTTTAAATCTTACATTCAGGCTCATCATCTATAATTTTATTTATTTATTTTTCTTCTCTTCAATGGCAGGTTTAAAGGGGAGAAACCTTTACAAATATATCTTGCATTTACAAAAGGCTAAATGACTAAATGCCGAAGTGGCTGCTATTTCGTACAGGGTAATGGCATAATGGTACAGTTTTTATGTGGATTTTTTTACCTAAACTAACAAAAAACCCCTTTAAAGCCTGGAAAAGTTTCGTCTTTTTCTCAATTACTCCCTATGTATTGTTGCTAAATTTAGGTTAATATTGTTTCCGTGACTTCTGTATTTTCAGTTTTAATCCAAGTCCCTGTTGTGTACAATCTTATTTATATCGTTCTAATTACAATCCTGTTACACTTTTACATATTATACATACTACGAAAGTTAAACGTTTGGACAGTGCGTTGTAATCAATTGAACTGACTAGCTAGTATCCAGCGATCTGAGTCTCATTCAACATTAAGCATTTTTTAAACCTCCTATACAGATATAGAATTTTGTTCTCATGATGCTTCACTGCTGATTATCAACACTAGACTGTAAAAGACACGGTGGGCATTTCAAAAGTTATCCCACATGTAGTTTGTTTGTTTTAAACGCAAAGCTATATACCGCGGGGACTCGAACTCCGGATTATAGCGTTTGAAGTTCATAAACTTACCGCTGACCCACCGGGGGAGCCAACAGACGGAAATATTAGTAAAATGCTACAGCTGTTTATGATATTTTATGAAAGTAAGTTGGGCAAAAAAATGGATGATCTTGTGGGAGTTACTCGAAGGATCCGAGTCCCTCGAGTCTCAGTCCTTACTACACTTCTACTTTTCCTCATTCATAAGTAGACCTGGAATGTTCTAATAGCGATAGTGCCGAACCCCGGAACTGGATTGCCAAGATTCGCAACGCGATGCCGCTGAACG